GATGGGCGAGGTCGCGCAGCCCGGGGCGGGCACTGCCCGCCGGGGGGGCAGCGGCCTGGATGTTCGCTCTGGGGAGTCGGTGGATAAGACCTATTTATTCGACCTTTTTGTTTGCTGCCACGTTTCCGCTGGGCTGCCTGGTGCTTAGTTCCCCTCTGAAAATCTTGTGAAGTATTTTTGATATACCAGAATGCAAAGAGCAGAGGACCACCACGAGTATAGGAAGTACCAAGTTAAGGGACGAAGAAACAAAAATGCAGAAGTCGTTTGCGTGCGCTAACCCACAGCATGTCCCTTTCCCACCGCCACTTTCTCCATCTATCCCTCTGTGTTTTGACAACTGCTCGTTTTCTGAAATCGCCTAACCACGTAGTCCAGGGCTTGGATAACTCAGTTATTCCAAGAAACGAAAGCGCCCACTCTCCTAAGAAAGGGTTCCAGGAATAGACATCAGTGCCCTCGGTACAATTTTAAAACAGCTGCCCTCTTTTCCCCAAAGCTCTACTTTTTCCAAAGCGCTTGCATTTGCCTTGTTGACTTCTGGGAGAAAGCTTCAGTCAGTTAGGTGCTTCATCAGCCCCTCCTCTTATCCCACTGCCGGGTTGTAAAGGAAATCTACCATAAATTCAGTCGTGAATGGTAGAGAATTTTTTCATCTTGAGGCAGCTGTTGAGTCTAATGTAGCAACTTAGGGGAATTGATGGAACCTAGCTGGATGTTTGGACCGGCTAATGTTTTCCTTTATACTCTTCCGCTGCCTATTTCTCCCCAGCTGCTACCCCACTACTCCACCCCTTCATGTTTCTCCATCTTGCTACATTTCTGACAGTTGTTACTTAGCTAAAAAGTAACACAGTATGAACAGGTAAAACTGCACACGGCCTCTATCCGTTCTTGATTTAAGAACTAGGGAGAACCAGTATTATAGACCAAATAAGACTTAGGAAAGTTATATTCAGAGAAATAGTGACTACAAAAAAAAATCTCACAGTAGCTGAGTAGAATTGATGAATTAAGTAGGTTGATGAATTAAATCTTTGTGTATAACTTAACTAAGAAAAATATATGAAATATATGAAAATGCTATGAAGATAACATGAAATGGAAAACATTTAGGAAAACTTTACTGCATTGTTTAGAAAGTTGGTTAAGGAATTAACTTGGCTTAATGAAATTTCCAGAAATGCTTTCTTAATAAAAATCTATTTATGTCTGCATACATTTGATTAAAATATTGACTCAAAGTATACTGGGGTCAGAGTAGTGGGGTCATAATGATCCTCTACCAGAATGAAGAGAAATTATCTCAGGAAAACGCATTTCATATATTTCTTACAGCTAGTTATGAGACACAAGGCTGCTGGAAATCTAATAAAGAGCAAGGAGATTTGGAAACAACTTTATTCTTTGAAAATATTTGGAGGAAAACAGAGATGTTCTTTTTGGCTAGAGAAACACATTTTAGCTAAAAATATCTGTGACTTCAATTTAGCTCTAAACTAAATGTTACTGTACCTTGGTTTTCTTAAATCTCTCCTTTGTCCCTTAAGCTGGTAAGCTAGTAAGGTCATGTGTTGGAATAGTTTATTTGCCAGAAAAATTAAGTAACATTTATTTTGTCAGATCGTATAAACTCAAATATTTTTAAATGTAAACTACAGTGTCATATTTTGATAATTGCTTGAGTCAAAAAAATATTAAAATGGTGTTAAATGCTAGAGTCTCGCATGAGAATGTTGTTTAATATTTATCTTCAAAAAGCACAAAATGGAGGTTATATTTAAAAAACAAAACCAAAAACCTGTCTCAGGAAGCATAGTCCATACACGAGGTAATAAGTGAGTTGGGTAAATTACGTATACAGTCAGCTCATGTATATAAAAATGACGCATATTTCATATTACTCTTGTTTTATGTATATTTAGAAGTGGGTGTGTAAATTTTGCATTCCACCACAGAACAGTATTTTACTTAGTCACCACTGTTTTAGTGGTAGGGTGCCAGAATTATACGCTTAAATCCTGCACCAGAATTTTGGCCTCTGTCCACAATCAAGTAAACTGCTGTAGCAGCAGCTCCCCAGGCTTTTATTTAGTATGATAGTAAATTGGGGGTGTGGGGTGGAAATGAAACCAGATTATATGACTTTTGTCAAACTAAGTGGATGACAGTGCTCTTTGTTAACATCTGGAAGGATTTTGGCGGGTATTTTTGTGCTGCATGGATAGCTTTGTTGTATACATAGTACATTTACTGCAGCTGTGTACAACCCAGTTTATTATAACCACTCTTACAAACAACCTTAAGAATGAAAGGCTCAATTTTAATAACCAGTTGATTTTCTTTATATTAAATTCAGATGAGTTTCCTATTCAATGCAGTAGAAATTTAGATATAATTTTGTATCAGCTGTTAATCTTAATATAGCTGAATAATTACATCTGATTTCCCTAAAATTGGTTAAAGTAGTTATTTAAAATTGATCAACAAATAGTTGAGTACTATGTTAATTACGTAGGTAACATTGTTTTTGGTTGAACTGTGGTAGTAAACAGTGGGTGAAAGTACAAGTTACAGGTTGAAATTGAGGTCAGTTATTATTCAGCATTTTTACTGGATGACAAGGCTTTTTGTTGTGTCTCAAAATTCAGTAATTTAAGGCAAGCTTCTTTGCTAGCCTTCAGATTTCTCCTTGATACAATATAGATACAGTTAAATGTAATTAACTGTTTTATTTATCAGAAAAGGAAATATTCGTACTCCTAGGGTTAAAAGTCATTCGTAGCAGATGTCATGTCAAAAGAGAACTATTAAGATATTTGGATAATGACAGGTTATTGGGGGGATAACAATCTAGAGGTTCTTTTAGATTCAGGACATTCTTTGGCAGTGCTAGAACTGGATGTATGTGCTTTAACTAGATCATGTTTACTCTTAGAGAGTAGATTAAGGTATCTTAGAAATGATTTTGATCAAGGACAGATTTTTCTCCAGTGCAGTCTTAGGTTTTCTAACTGAAATGTAGAGTTGAAAAATAGGGGAGTCTCAGACATTGACTGATGGTTGTGTGTGTGTTTGTGTGTATTAAACATTTACATTTTAATTGCTGTAAATGGAATGATACATAGTTTATAGCTAACATTGAGCCTGGGCTCTTGATCCCCTTAGCAGCCCTCTGTGGGTAGATAAATTAGAGATCAGGTTTCACAACCTCAGCCCTATTGATATTTGGAGCTGGACAGTTGTGTGGAGAGCTGTTCTTTGCATTATATGGTGTTTAGCAGAACTTCTGGCCTCTACCCACTAGATGCTAGGAGCATTACCCCCAAATGCGATATTGCCTAATCTCCCTTGGAGGGCTGGTGAAAAAGGTGAAGGGATTAAAAAGTATAAATTGGTAGTTACAGAATAGCCATGGGGATGTAAAGTACAGCATAGGGAATATAGTCAGTAATATTGTAAAAACTGTATGGTGTCTGGTGGGTATTAAACTTATTGAAGGGATCATTTCATAAGTTATATAAATGTCTAACTACTATACGGTACACCTGAAACTAATATAATATTGAATGTCAACTGTAGCAGTGTTCATTAAATTACCATTGCAGAGTTGAAGAATGAATAGCAATGAAAGATTCTTTAGGACTTTTTAAATGTGAAATAATGTATAAAACAAATGCAATTTAAAATAGAAATGATTCAGAGTAAAGACGTGATTAGAAGTTTTTTTAGGAACATTTATGGATTGGGGTGCAAAAGTTTTTAGGGGGTATTGGATAAGTTATGTGGACTATGTTGTGTCCTTGTGTGGAATATATGTTCTTTCTATACCTAAATTATCTAACCTTGAGAATTGGCATTGTATATTTAAAAAGAAATCTATTTTCTATCTTCCCTCAGGTAGTTATTAGGGGATGGTAAACAGACTGATTTGGCTGGGGAAAACAGCAAAGAAATGAAAATTTTTGAAGTTGTGATAAGTGGTAAAGGATATTAAAGTTTTAAGGGTTTAGAGTTCTGTAAGTAATTGAAGTGATTCCAATAATATTGAGGAGGACTATTCTAAATGACATAAAATGTATCACTGGGAAGAGATTTAAAAGCCAAAATACAGGTAGGAGACTTACGGTTTTGAATGAAGTTCCAACTTTGGAAAGAAAGGCATGTCCGTGAGATCAATTAGAATCAACAGGGTTTGGTAATAGATAGCAGAGTTAAGACTCTAAATTCAAGTCTGCAGAACTGGAGTGATGATGGTCTTATGGTTAATAAAGAGAAATCTGAAAAGAGTGATTTGTGGGCAAAGGTTTTCTTTAAGTCATTAATTACTAAGAAGCACATTCTCAAATTTGTTGTAGAATATAACTAATTTGTTTCAGTGGGTGATACTTGAGTTTTTAATTTGTTTCTTGGAGTAGCGATCTAGAGCTGATATTTTCATATACTGTAAATGACATCTCTTTTTTTTCTAGCACAACATCCTAAAATAAGTCCATCAGAATGACACCTTCTCAGGTTACTTTTGAAATAAGAGGAAATCTGTTACCAGGTATTGTAAAATTTTAATTTAAAACAATTTTTAAATTAGCATTTTTCTCATCTGGCTTATTTTAAATGTGGAGTTGTTATTAGAGTGGGCCCAGTTTTCAGATGTTAATATCTTTATAGTTTGCCCAATACCAGAAATGTGTTTGAAACATGATAAATTCAAGGGGGTGGAGAGGAAACGCCCCAAATAGTATCTGATTCTCATGTTTTCTAAGAAACCTGTAACTTTATTTAATGTGCCACATGACAGAGAGTTGGGCTGTAATTTCTAAGTAGCATGAAAATGGGTGAAATTTCGTTAGTGCAAGAAGTTGGTCAAATATTGGCTAAGATAACTTTGAGCCCTACTTGTAAATTTTTATTTTTATCTTTATTGTATTTTTTGCTGTATACTGTAACATTGTGAAATAATTTTAGTGTATGATAGCATGTCAAAACAGTATCCCACCTGGATTTGATACCTCCTTGTTTAGTACACTCTGGTTATACTGGCCAGCTCCTCAAATATATTGCATTCCTTCTCACTTTTGGGACTCCCTCATATTATTTCCTCTGCCTAAATCTGTGCCCCACTCCTCCCACCCAAGCTCTCCTTACTACAATCTCCCACATTCAGCCAGGTTAAGGTTTCTATGAAGTTCAAGTTTCAGGACTTTTTGTAGCACCTCTTACAGATTTCTTAGAATTATTTGAGTAATTTTGTTCATTATAAACTCTGTGAAAATGTGACTTTTGTCTTGTTCTTGATGAATTCCTGCATCTGGCACAGTGCCTGGCTCCGAGCAGGGGTAAATATGTGTTCAAAGAATGAATGAATGATTCACTCTGTCTATCCAGAATCTTTATTCTAGCAGCCATACAGCAGTTGACAGAATGTGTGTCTGTTCAGGTGCAAAGTCTTAGTGGAAATGGTCTGGTACAGCTCATCCTCTGGGCAAGATTCCACAGATTGAAAATAAGTTGGCTCCTGTGGGTCAAGCACTCACCTCCAGTCCATTGTGCAGCCTTCTCTGCTGAGAGAAGACTGTAGAGCTATATTGTATCTTTTAGAGAGTTGTACATAGGCAGCCTAGTTAGAAGGAGCTGGCCATGTCAGGCAAGTGGACTGATGACAGCATTAGCCATAGATGGGTCAGCTTGAAAAGAGGGGATTCTTACTCTCAAGGTCTAGAGGGAAGATAATGGTAGATGTGAATGCAGATGAATCTATCGGTAGGAAGGAGAGGAGGAGACGTTGGGGAGACCTTCAACTCCACCATCACCTTGATTTCCTCACTGAATCAGGAGGAAATGGGAAGTGTGCTGAATGTAGAGAGTAGAGAGTGCAGAGTGGGGTGAGGTTAGAGGGAACAAGTGAAAAAAATATGTCAGAGAGCTGTTTGCAGATTCCTTTAGTTAGCATTCAAGTCTTTATAATCTTTTATAAATGAAAGCCAATTAAACAAAGAGGTCTGTCTATTAAAAAGTTTCCCTTTTTTTCTCCTCATAGAAGTCATTTTCACAGGCAATCAGCAGAAAGACGAAGTAACATTGCCAAAAGGGAATTGGTAAAATGCAGGAACACTTATAGAAGGAAAGAATGAACCACTGACTGATTGTCCAACTTTACTTTTTCTATTAGGGGCATATAGTCTTTCCAGAGCAAACAGTAGCTGCTGTGGGGCTAAGAAATGACCAACTCCTTTATAAAGGAAGTGTATTGGGCCTGAATCTGATTTTCTGCTGATCTGTACTTTGAGCTAAGAGCCAGAGAATATGCTATAATATGCATAGCGACATGTACAATCTTGGGAATGAATATCTGTGCCTTGTATTTAACAACAGTGTTTATCCTTTTAAAAGAAAATCAGAGAAGGTAGTGATAACCTAAGTTAATTACAAAAAAAGTCTGATTACTCTCAAGAATTTAAATATTTAAAATATTTTGACATGAAATCATTCTGCAAAACCACCCTGTGCTTCACACACATGTATTCAGAACCCTGAAAACTCCTGAATGACTATCACTTGGAATTTTGTTTAAGTATTAGTATAAGCCTACAAAATCCTCATGCAGGTGGCTAAAGCCCACTATAATTCTAGTCTTTCAAGAGTAGTGCCTAAAGCTTAGAAACCAAGTTACTTTTAGAGTGTAGAGGAGTTTGTCTTGAACTTTGTCATGTGGGCTCAATTCATTATTATTTCCTCATGAATTTTAATTATATTAACTCAGGATGTATTGGTTTATAAGTCAAAGATTTCCGCATACTTATATCCAAGAAGGTATAGACTTTTGCTAAATATATGACATTTGGCAAATATGGGTGATAGCTATATGTTGGTTTGTCTATTGATAAGAAGTGTTCTGATGAAACAAGTCATTTTCATAAGGAGTACTAGATTTTTCACTATATAAATCTTTTCTGTTGTTGTTGAGGATTTTTGTTGTTAAATTGTTCCTGTCCCCTTGATACTTTTCTTGATCTTTAGCTTGTCAATAGCTAGTGTTTGAGTTCCTGGAAAATATCAGTTACTAAGAATGCTTCTATGCATTTAGTGTTTGCTGCTTTAACTTGGAAGCTGCCTTGAAGGCAGTGACTATGGTTTAATCACTTTGTCTTTTTGTTGCTTCTTATTGGCTTGAGTAGTTGAATGAATGAAGTTCATCCCTACGCATCCCTTTTGTCTCTCGCTTTGATTCCGTAGAGGTGTAATTCAATTAATAACACAGATGCTTCTGTGCTGATTGAGTCCAAATCCTTGCTTCCAGTGAGGGTCTTCCATTTCTGCTGAAAGGGACCCTGCATGTAGTCGAACTAGTGCCACTGACAACGGTTTTGCTTCCTAAAACTAAAATTTAGAACTTTCCTTATGCTGCTGTAACTGGGACTGTTTCTTTAGGAGAAGTTTTTGCGATATGTGGAAGCTGTGATGCTTTGGGAAACTGGCGTCCTCAAAATGCTGTGGCTCTTCTTCCAGAGAATGAGACAGGTGAAAGGTAAGCATGGGAATGTCAGGTGACAGAATAATTGTGACATTTGGATTACAAACTTGGGGTCTACTAAGATACCTTGGTTTCTTTTTCTTTTTTCTTTTCATCAAAGTTACCATATGTGCATAAAGAGTTAAAATAGTTTTACAAAGTTTGTTGTGGAAAAAAACAAGTTTCCCATTTCCTCAATTTCTGCCTCTCACAATCATTTTCAACTCTTGGCTCGTTCTTTTGATATTTACCACCATATTTCTAAAATAATAGGCTGATATTGCTATTTCTTATTTTAAAAAAGCCTTTCAAATACTATCTTTTGGCTTCTCAGTACATAATTCTTGATAAAAGATCTAAAATTAGGTGTTAGGACAGAATCAGTGAATATCAACAAAGGTAGGTGGATCTTCTCCACTTGGGGAAATTTGGAAGTGGATTGTCCAAATGTATTTGTGGGGATGAGGAGAGAGGAGGAAATGCACCTTGGGAGAAGCACCAGATTCAGTGATTATGAAGCTCAAATTCTAATTTTGTGTGTGTGCGCGTATGTGTGTGTGCATATATGTGGCAGTGCTGCTGAAAATGTGGCCCGTCGACCAAAGCTAGACAAAAACCTTTTTTATCAGGGAGAAATACAAACATTAGGAGCAAACATTTAGAAATGTTTATAGCAGTTTGACATTGCTGGGGCATTCATGCATGTCACCATGGACTCATTTTATTGAACCTCATGGGTATGGATACCAAATGTATTGGTTGCAGGACAGGTTAGGTAAAACAAACAAGCAAACAAAACTGGGCCTTCACAGCAGATAGTTTGAGAATCACTGATGGCAGAGCAAAGGAAAATAACAAGGAAAGTAAAACAATACCATAATATAAGCCAAGAAAAATAAACAAAAACCATATACAGGACACCCTTTCCCCTATTTGTCATTGGTGTGCACATTTTCTCAGCCACAAGTAAAGTTCTTTTGATAAATGAACTGGGATCATGGAGGAACGAGACATTTATTCCCTTCAAGTGGCTATTTTTTCCTTGATTTTCAGATGAGCCACTTCTCTCTGAAGTGAAACCTAACCTTTCTGAACTTCTTTCTAAAACATGCCTCTGCTCTGAACTCTTGAGGTGACCTGTCACCTGTTTTAAGTTCATTTCATCCAGCCTCATCAAAGTGATGTAAACAGAATGAAGTAACACTTAACGGGACCAGCCATTTTTACATTGCCGATGTACACTGAAATATAATTAGGAGTCCCCAACCCCAGGGCCACAGGCTAGGACTGGTCTGTGGCCTGTCAGGAACTGGGCCGCAGGCGAGCAAGTGAAGCTTCCCAGCGCTAGCATCACCGCCTCAGCTCCACCTCAGATCATCGGCATTAGATTCTCATAGGAGCACCGGTCCCTGGGGCCAAAAAGATTGGAGACTGCTGAATGGCAGACAAACAGTGCTTCCCAAGCAGATGATACAAGATGATACAAAAGGCAAACTTCTTATGTTTTAGATTTGACGTTCTTTGGGATTTCAGTGTACTCTGCATCTAAGTCTTCTGTGCTCCCTTTTCAGTCTTTTAAACCTCTCCATACATACAGGCTTCTGGTGACAAGAGCTCTTTTGGACTTTTTTTCCTACTTACAGATAATTCAAAGGTCTTGGTGTAGTGTTCCCTAATAATGCAGAAAATGTGGGTCACTTGTGGTTTTATTTGCTCTCCTTATAGATTTTATTGTATTTTGGGGAAGGATATGAAGGTGATTCAAAATCAGGCAGGTGCACTAAACCTTCTCACCGCCTCTTTCCTGGTTTATCTTGAATTTTATCAGCTTATGTTCATGCTCAACGTCACAGAGCAGTTCTGGTTCATTTTTAACTTGGCTACATTTGCTTAGAGAACTGGAATGAAAAGACTCATTGCTTTGCTCTTTCCATCTCTTCATTTAGTGATTTTTTTTTTTACCAGGGGCTCACATTAGAATCACTTGTGAGGACTTTTAAAAAATACACATGCCTAGTCCCTGTTCTTGGAGATTGAGAAATTGTGTATTAGAGAGGGGTCCCAGCACATTTTTCAAAGCTTCCCACTAATTTTAGTATGCACAATTGGAACTAGTTTCATATACTTTAGCTGGCTGTTTTATGTATGTAATAGTTCTACAAATTTGTCTTTTTTTTTTTTTTTAACAGACATAGGAAATAAATTTCACCTTAGAGTTAGTAGAATCTGCCGAGTCCTATGCTAAAAATGATTTCGAGGCTTATCAGGGAAAAGTAGGAGCACATATGCCAAGTATTTGCTATCCTTGCTTTACAGCAGTGATTCTCAACCAATCATTCACATCCAGTGCCCTGTGAAGTTTATCAAACTCCACATGACCAGGCTCTACCCCAGACATATGAAATTAGAGTCTCCCAAGGGTGGAGCCAGGGCATATGTATTTTGTTACTACCAAATTAATTTGATTGCTGAAGGTAGGACCACGGGTGACAGCTGGCTGTGGCTATTTCTTAGGAATCAGGATTAAGTCAGAGTGAGGATAATTCCGTGACGCCTATCTTGGCAAAGCCAGGTGGAGTGCGGTGCTAGCCATCTGGTGTCACAGAAGAACATTTGGAGCTACCATTTATATACTGAACTAACTGTTCATGCTGAAATAGTGTTTAGGTAATGATCTGTGATGGCTTTCAAACTTAAGTGTTTATTAACAGAATCACCTGTTAAATTACGGTTAGCTGGGCCCCCCTCCCAGCATTTCTAATTAAATGGGTCTAGGTAAGGCCTGAGAATCTGCATTTCTAACAAGCACCTAAGTGATACTGATGGTCCTAGGACTCCACTTTGGATACTACTGGTCTGTGATTTGAAGCTAAAAATCAGTTATAATCATGAATTGTGAATTTTTTCACTGTTGAGTCAAAGTTTTAGAATAGCAGTAGAATATGTTAGAATAGTATAGTTCAGTAGAAGACATCGGTTGAAACAAGTAATGTACAGATACTGATTGCTTGGCTAGGGGAATAGTCAGAGGCTGGGCAGGACAGAACAAGGGACAGTTGAGAACATGAGTGTAGTTTGCCAGTCTTGGTCCCAAAGCCTCTTAGCAGCCATGTAACATCTCTAGCCAAGTGGGAAGTCAGAGAAGATTCTGACTCTGGCTTTCATCTCTGTGCTACTTGCTTTTTCTGTTTGTGCCTGGTTCCTTCCCATCATTTAGCTCTCAGCTCAGATACTTCCTCATTGAGGCACCTCCCTTCCAAAAGCCTTCTCCCAAACTTCTTGTCGCTTCAGAAAGTTGGTTATTTGTCTACTTATGCAAGAAAGAAATCTTAAAGATAGGGCTCTTTCTGCCTTATCATTGCATTCCCAGTGCCTGCCTGGTACAGATGAGGCCTGTAGTAACATTCTGTATAGGAATAAATAAATGGTGTTGGTCACAGACCCTATTTGAGGAGTTTTATGAATTATGAGATCTTTATGCATTTTATTTTTATTCTTTTTTTTTTTTATGCATTTTAGTTTGATATTGATGCAGCTGCTCTAATTTTTTTTTCCTCACAGCATGTTGTGGAAAGCAACCATTGTGCTCAGCAGAGGAGCGTCAGTTCAATATCGCTACTTCAAAGGGTGCTTTTTAGAACCAAAGGTATGTTTTCGTCATCTAGTTTCCAGTTTTCTTAGCCAACTTCTTTCAAAAGCAACTAATTTATGTTTGGAAACATTAAAAGCAAAATTGAGTTTGTTTTGATCTAATAAGGAAATTAGAACTCTTGATTAATAACATTTTAGTACCAAAAAGCAAAGAAGTATCCACTTCAAAGGCAGACGGTGTCTGCAGTGAAATTTTTAAAAGACTAATAGTAAGTATATTCTGCAATGTTATAAAATTGGTTTTAATGATAAATGTTCTCAATGGGTATGTATTCTCTGTAACATTTGTAAACTAGTTAGTATCTAGTTGCAAGAGTTTCTCTTTTTGTTTCATTTTGTTAATCCATATGTGGTATGAATACATTTAGAGAAGTATATAGCCAGCTTTAAGTGAGTAATTATCTTTAAGAATTATTTTACAGCAGCCACTCTTATTGGCTGCATCATTTACCTTCTATCAAAACTGAGGTCATCTCTCTGAGATTTTTTTCAACAATGGTGTTAATAGACCAGGATCTTTCCTGAAGACCTTTGGAGTATCAAATCTAAATCTGCTTGCTCACAGTGATTTATTATTTGAGGATTATTTTCATATTTAGAAAAAAAAGTTGGTTCTTTCCCTCTTACTTTAATTTGCTGAAAGGATTCTTTTCCTTCAGATCGTTACCTTTGAGCACACTTGGGCTGCATATGAACAAGGGCTTAGGCAGGAATCTAGGAAGCAAAACATGGATTAGACTTTTGAAAAAAAAAAATGTATTTCCCTTTGGGGTCATTGAATACTTGTTACATGTGAAAAATGCAAGCAGCCACTGTTACCTCATTCTCTTAGCCACCATTATAAAAAAGAAAAAACTGACAAACCCACTTCAGCTGTCTTTTGCACCTATTACGTTTCTTATTCTGAAAATACATTGTAAATATTCAGTAATTAAACTTAAATTACGTTATGGTTGATAATTGTGTTGGCTTATCTTGACAGTAGTCTCACTTTAATGACTTAAGAAAAGATCATTTATTTGGTATAGGGGTTATGCATCGTGGCATTGTTCTTCAGTATGAATTAAACATTTGTGCATAGATATATAGGTCACAGCACACATGATATTGATAGCTTATTTGAGGATCCAGGTATGTGAAATTTGTAACGTGAAATCAACTAAATTTTACTTACAGGAACATTCAGACAAGAAAATCATAATGAGTCCTTTGGACATAGTTTTCTAAAGTAAGACTATTGTCAACACAAGTCAAGCCAACTTACAGTATTTTCCCTCTTAATTGAAAATGTAACAAAAAGCAGCAAATCAGTCCAAAATGCCTTTTTGAAAAGACTGGCAAGAAATCCGCTTACAGTAAAAAAACAAGTTTTTCCCCTTGTAATACTTGCAAAAGTTTACGGTATGTGTTGGTGAGTGTGTTTCTTTAAGTAGGTGCTCTGTATCGTGTACACATGTACCGTGTGATGCAGGGGCAGCCATGGTAAGTATGTTTTTCATGGAATAGAGTAAATAGCTACATAAAATCCCATGCATATGGCTAGAGGGTTTTTTTTCCCACATGCCAGCTTAAGGTGACATTTTTTAAATAAATTGGTGGCGCTTTTTAAGTGAAACAGTTTTTAATAGAAATAATTATGAAACTGTCTCAGTTGTGCATTGTCAAATGATAGAACTGATGTTCAAGGAATCTTAAATTATGAAATGATACAAATTATTGGAATATATATTTTACGAAAATAAAGAATAATAAGGAAATAAAGCATTGAAAGCCGAAATGGGTAATAACATTAATTTTACTGGATCAGAAGTTTTAGGAGGTAGTCTACCTAAGCTAAAAATCTTGTGATCTCGTCATTTGACCTTCAGACTTCAGCTTCCTCATCTGTAAAATGAATGATTTGAACTATAAATTTCCTAGGTCCTTTCCATAGCTAAAATTTTATTGTAAATAATGTAAAGTGTTTACATTCATATTTTCTCTTTCATATTTTGCACCTCCTGGCATATTTCTTTTAGTTTAGAAGTTGAGTCTTTATCTCTTAATTTTCGCAGCTACACATGTTGTAGAATTAGGTTAAAATGTTGATACATTGAATTTTAAGATAAGTTTGCAGGTGACAAATCAAAATATTAACTTACTTAAACATAGAAAACAAAGTAGTAGATATTCTTGCAATGAAAACAGTGGTGTGAGCCTGCAGATAGTCCATTAATTTTGCATCTTCACCAAAGATAATTTTTGAATTAATGTGTAATTTAAATATTTTTAAAATCCATGTCCACTCCTCTTGTGACTAAAATTAGGGCTGTTATCTCATGCAGAAATGTTAGCCAATTTTTAATTATATTGTCTTTGAAATTTTTCCTTCATTTCAGTGGAAATACCTCTTTATTTTTCAGTAACATGTCTGTTTCTAATTTTTATAGGTGTTAACATTCACTTATAATTAGATTCATTGCACTCTTTTACTTTATTCTTAATCTATCTTGATTTTCACTTAAATCCTTTAACAAGAAAATCAGTCATCTGTGATAGGCAGATAATGATTTATTTTCAGAATAGCCCAGGTTGTCATTTTGTCAGTAGTTTCTTAATATAATAAAGTTCTTCTAAATGTTAAATACCCTCAGCTGTTAACTTCAAATTTGAATAATCTCATAGATGTCTGTCAACCTAGATTTCTTAGCCCTACTCGCTCATAGATGACCATTTTTTTTATTGGTCTTATTAAAAATAAAGATTTTTTAAAATTACTATGAGTCTGGCCTCTGACAGCATAGATGAAAATTCCTAAGAGATCCTTTTACATGCACTTTATTTTTTATAACTGGAAAGAAAATAAAAATTTTAATGTTCACAATTACATTTTTCATGGTATTTAAAAGCAGTGATGTTACTTGACTACGTTGTAATTTTGCTTGGTGGTTTCGTTAAAACAACCTCCAGCCTACGTGTTGGATGATAATCTTGTTTATTTCTCTCAGTGCTTGATGTAGCTGAGTGATGTTAACTGTTTAAGAAAGCGGTCATTAAGACTTTTGTGTGTGGAAACATAGATTTTTTTGTGTTTTTGTTGTGTACATGTTCAGAAACATTCAAGCAATCATCTGATTTAATATATGCTAAATTGTGAAATAACTTTACCAGTACTGTTAATGGAGTACTGTCTTGGACTAATAGTGTTCCTTTTTTTCCTCCAAAGATCCACCTTCCTCTTGACTCCAAAATGCTTAAATATATGGCAGCCTTTTACAGAATGGAACTGTTCTTTTTTCTAAGTTTTTGAAGAATGTTATTCATGGAATAGAGCCTTAAAAAGAATTACATGTTTTGGAGTCATTACTGAGATTTTTAATATATCAATGCTCAGGTCTTAAATTTTTTTAATATATCAATGCTTAGAACTTTAGTAAGCTAAACTTTAAGAATACCTTCTAAAGTTTTAATAAAGTAGTCATAACAATTTTAGAAATTCACTATATTTTAAAACTTGGTTCATTTTTTTCACTATTATAACATGCTGTATACCAACCAACATGGATTTGCAGTGTGAACGCTGATAGACACATTATAAGTCATCTGTTGGAAGCAGCCTTTCTGTTATTTTTGCAAATGGTGGGTTTGTAACTAAAACAGATGAGCATGGAGTTATTAAAATCACTAGTAAAATATGTCTCCTATTAAATATTAATCCACAGGGCTATTCTTAAATAATTATCTATAGATGCTATAGTCAACACTTAGTAAAGTTGCCTGACACCTGAATTGAAAACAGACTCTCTTTCTTTCTACCCATTTTTTATCCTTGCTAATATTTAATATTCAGGGTACCTTTCAAGTCACTTTTGATTAGTAACTTCTATGGGAATATAGATCCCCACACCATCTTTGTAGCGAAGCTTTTTTTAAGTAGGGGATGTAGGGGACATGGGAAGAGTTGGAGGAAGGGAATAGGTTAGTTCTTTCTGGCTGCTTATTATTGCTAAGAAACATCGTTCTTATTTTTAATGTATACATTTGCATCTCTCGAGGATTAGAAAGTTTGATGTTTAAAAGAACAGATTCAGAAAAATGTGACATGAAAAAGTTGTAAAAGATAGGAGATGTAGGATTAAATGTATCCCATTTTTTAATTGTAATGGAAATGAAATTCACCATAATTTGGGATGAGCGGTTTCACATTTACATTTTTAAAAATATCTACCCAGTCTACCAATTCAGAAGTGAACCCTTATAACGAACGAGGTATTTGGCTAGAGAAGGTGAGCATTTCCTGAATTATCCCAGGATAAATGATTTGCATGAATATCTAATGATATTTTTGTTTACAAATTTCAAAAGTTTGCAAGTTTTAAAAAATATGTTAACTTCTGGTTATTTTAAGTGGCAGAATAATCTTTTGTGTTTAATTATTAATTTGTTACATATTATCATTTGACACATTTATTAAATATAATCAATATTGAAAATCCTATAACATGTTTTAGAAGAGTATTTAATGCCATCTAAAGATGTGTAATATATTGAGAGAAGCTAATATGCTCCTGGCTTTTAAAGAGTATATTTACTATATGCCTAGAAAGGGGCTTGAAGATGATGTGCGAAAATGTCGATAGTGATTATCCCTAAGTGGTGTGGTAATCATGGGTGACTTGTTTTTTCTTTTTGCTTTCCTGTATTTTACTACATTTCTTCAGAAAATGTGTAAAGAACAAAAAATTAACTTTTAAGGTTATAGTTTGAAATTTTGCTTTTACAATGTATATTTAAGGGTTTTATTTTGGCACATAAGTTTAGTCTTTTTTTAATAATTAAAGGAAAATTAGGAAACATTTAATATTTCAGTTTTTTAGCTAAATGCAGGCAGTCTTTGTAGGTTCATTCTTGTTTTTAAATTGCTGTAGATGTTAACAACACATAAAGCTTTATTTTCTTAGTAAGAACTTCATAAAAGGACAATATTAGTAATTGTCACACTATAAATTTATAAACTCTAAGGCAATAAAGAGTGAAACTGAATGTTAGTTCCCCTTTTATGAAATCAGTTTTTCACATTTACCCATGCATGTGTCCTTTCTTTTAGGGTTTCCTGTGCCCTTTAGAAAGACCGGTTACTGTGATATGAGAAATCTGATGTTCTTCCTGTTATCTATTTACTATTCTTAAATATATGTAATAAAGAACTTGATTATGCCTTCAGGTTTCTTGAGGAACTTGTGATAATTGATCCTGAAGTACTTACTTGTTCCTACTCTTCCTGTTGTCGTAGAGTTTAGGCTTTTTTCAAACAATTGGAGAGTAACTTGAGATACTTTTACCCACTAACACCTCATTGACTGCTGACATATCAAACATAAAGTATATTTGCAGTTAACTTTAGCTTAGGACAGCATATCAGTTAAAGATTAAAATTTCTCTGGAAAAAAACAAACAAACCTGAGTATAATAGGCAGATTTAAGAATGGGTTCAAGATGGTTTTGTGTGCCAGTTCATCCCTTTTTCTTTTGGTTTGTTTATTGCCTCATCCTCATTTTCTTCCAGCACTCATTGTTTTGTGACTTGGTACATGCCCGACTTGGGGCATATGACATTGATAATTAACAAGATGAATCTCTTGGTTTCATATTAAGTATAAGATTTAGGCCACAAACATCTAATGGAGTCATGGGTAGAAAATAAGATATAAGAAATTATTGCAGACGTTTAACTTTTAAATTGCAGACTATCGGTGGTCCATGTCAAGTCATAGTTCACAAGTGGGAGACTCATCTACAACCACGATCAATAACCCCTTTAGGTATGGGCATTAACTGCATCTGTTTGAGGCATATGCATAAAGTTACTAATATGCTGCACAATGGCTTAGTGGGATTTAATTATTATTCTAAAGTTTAAGGTCAATGCATTGTCAGTACTACAAATTTCACTTAGCATTTCATGGATCTTTCAAAACTAAATAGTTCTTAATTACTTTTCTCTATAAACTTCAGAAATGCTTTATAAACTTTTAGAAATGCTTGCCTAGTTATTTTTATTTTGGGGACTTAGATTAATTTATTGTGGAATATTTATTCTTCTTGGCTGAGCATCCATGGCTTTATTTCATTTCTTGCTCAGAAAACTTAGAGAACGTTTGAGGAGAGAATTAATCCAAAACAAAGATTCTTAAATTTTTAACTTCGAATAGTAAGAATAATACAAATTATTCTATTTATTGTGTGTGTTTTTTTTTAAACTAGTAAATACTTGAATAAACTTGTATGAATGAATTCGTGTTTCTTGGTTGTAGCAGACATATTTTCCTCCTAATTTAAATCCTTGCTGGCTATGTTAAAATTGATATTCAGTTATTTTTTTTTAATTTCAGTTTTCTTATGCCTAAAAATGGCATTTCTCTTCATACAAGTATTTTTGAATTTCTTTTTCTGTATTGAGATTAAAATTTGAAGTTCATTTCACATTCATTAAATTATCCACTTGGATTCATCTGTAAATGGACTCGGTGTAGAGAAATGTATCTTTTAGTTTCTAGGGAAAATTTGAATGTAAAGATAATAAATGGCTTGTTAGTTACTAGCTTAGAAAGTAGCAAGAGATTCTGCTTTACCCTGTAGCAAAGACACTACGTTTAAACAAATATTCCATCCTCTTTTATAGATTTTTACATGCTTTAATACATTTTTGATAGTGTATTTAGAATTTTTATGATAGTGTACTTAAGAATTTTAATAGTCGTATATGAGGTTGGAAATTATTAGGTATTGAGTATTTTAAAAATAATTTGTGTTTTGAAGCATCTTACAGTTAAATATGTTTTCTTATTGTGAGAAGTGAGATTATTTTGTTTCTGGTCTTAAAATTTCTTTTATACTTTTGGAAAATATAACTTCTAAACTTAAGAGTTGCGTGAAATCCATCAGATTCTTGGGAACTATCACACTTATTTTGACAAATATTTCAGACTTATGTTTAAGGTAAACTGGGAAAGGAAGGAGCAGGAAGGCCTGTTACTCAGAGAGCGGGGCTTAACAGCGTGTCTCATTTAGTTGAAATTTCTGTTAGAAGGGCATGTGCTAGCACTTACTCTTTTGGTAGTTCCTCACAGCTCTGTGTATACAGGTAAGTTTACACTGTAAAGCTTTTAGCTGGCTATAGAGAATAGTTGGGATTTGAGGAGAATTACATTTTAGATAAGTTCAGAATATGCACTACATAAGAATAAGCATTTTAATTGTGCCAAGACCTTTAGTTTAAAAAATCAACCAGGAGATATTATTGTCCAGCAACCTGTCAGCCTCACACATCGATGGATGTAGAAGTTTGTCCCAGTGCCTCTAGAGCACCTGTCTGAGGAGTTTTCTTTTTCTTGTAACGTCATGAATAATCACCAAGTATGTAAGAACTGTTACTGTTTGATAGCCTCCTTAAAAGCGAATTCTTTATTGAGGGCCACAATAAATATGCTTATTCACTTTGGGCCGGTTTTAAATTTTAGATTGCATATTTTAAAAAAATGTGTAAGGTGGATAATTTCTCAGTTGTTCATTCTGCATACATTATGAATTTTAACTAGGTTTTCTATTTTCCTTCAATTCTAGAAAGTGAAATTATTATTGACGATGGACAATTTGGAATCCACAGTAAGTAAGGCCGAATTTTAAAAATCTTTACTGATGTGGTTTGAGATGTTGCCTTACATTCATTAGAAACAGCACAGGGAAATAAGACAGTATGATATTGAAAAATAGAGGCTAAAATCAAGAAACAAATACATTCTCTTAATAAAAGTTGCCAGTATAATACCTGTGCTTTAAAATTTTTATCTTTTTGGTTTTTATTTAGTGATTATTAATTTACAGTAGAGTAGAAAATCCTTTTACCTCTGAATATGTTGAAAATGTTATGAATTTGTAAGTACTTTATCTTGAGGAATCAAGTTTTCTTCAATTACTGGAATTCTCACAATGTGTTAGCATTATCATGCTAACTTGCATTTTCATATTAGATACTATAGTATAGGAGTCAAAAGATGTAAAGAGGGTGGGCAGAATGTGTATTTGTGCTGACTGAACCAGAGATAAATTGCTGATAACCAGTTTGCTTTCCTGTCCAGTACAGGAAGGAACAGGGTCTGAATGGTTTTCGTTTTTTTTTTTTTTTGATTGTGGTTTTACAAGGGACATGAGTTTACGCATTTTAGAAATGTACATGCTTTGGCAATCTTTGGATAGGAATTTAATCTCTCTTCCTTGATTTTATTTCACTTATTTATATTAGATCATAAAGTAATCTAAAACACTTGAATAGCTTTAATGTTTAAAATTCGAGAATCTTGTCTTTATTTACAAAAGATGATATTTATGCTACATGTTTTAGAGAGCTTTGTTATGGAGTAGTTTTCTTATTTCTTCAGCTGTAATACGTCATCACATCATATCCCCCTATTATATGTTAATTACTATGTATGATTATATGCATGTCATTTCTTTCCTTTTTGTTGTTGTTGCTTTTCAAAATTCAGCTTTACTTTAGTTTAGATGGAAAGCCATTTTTTCAACTTGTCCATTTCTGAAAACAGTTTAAAATTAAATAATTGTGGTTTGTCTTTATTTTTAAAATTTGCTAATTATTAAACATTTTAAACTTATATCTAAGCAGAAAAGCTTCTCGATTTTTTTGTTTTTTAAGTTCTGTGGAAAAACTTAGGTTGCAAACAGTTGATAGCTTTCTAGTATTTATGAAAATGTTATTACCTGTGTTTGGAAACTACAAGTTAAACAGTGCTAGCACAGTGTTATCAAAGTCATGCAGTTTATGGCAGAATATGTAAATATGAGAATAGAAAATTGACTTCACAGTTTTATTCTTACCTTCTCGTATCTCAGTACCCAGCACTAAACCAGTCTAAACTAGTTTCAACTAAGTAAATATCTCATGTGAAGCTTTGGAAGTTTGATGGTGATCCCCAATGGAACAACTGTAGATTAGAAGCCATTTTGGAACATGTATTTCTTTCTCAAATGGATTTGTATTACTTCGACAATGTATTCAATAATAATATTTTTATTTACTTAAGTTGTTAAACTATGGCTATTCTTAACATTAACTTTTTCTCCTTTTTCATATGAAAGTTCTTTTTCAATGACAATTTTAAGACTGCCTATATATTTGCTTTGAAGAGAAGTACCAGTGACACATAACTGGAGTGTATTAAAATCTGATTGTGAACAGAATTGTCAGCATGTATTATACTTACTGGATTATTTTTAAAAATATATGTAATAATTACTGTTCTCCCTGTTTGTTTGCTAGATGGTATTGAGACTCTGGATTCGGGATGGTTGACGTGTCAGACTGAAATAAGATTGCGTTTGCATTATTCTGAAAAACCTCCTGTCTCAATAACCAAGAAGAAATTTAAAAAATCTAGATTTAGGTATGACCATGTATATTTGTTACTTAGGTCATTTATTTTCACTAGTGCTATAGATTTCTGATCCATTTGATTTTAGCCTTTAAGTGTGTAAGCAAGAAAATAACACACTTATAATGTCACATTTCCTAATAACTGCAGGGTCTTGTGAGAGTGAACTGCTTCCCAGCCAGAGTGCTACAGTTACATGTACTTATTGTTAGTCTTAATGTCGAATTGGAAACTAGAAAATTTCGTTTTTGTGTAGATAAATGATTTCCAAGGTTATGCATCTTTGTAGTTTACAACTTTTAAAATTTCTTAGTGTAGCAATAGTTTGTTTTAAAAAATTAATATAACAGAAATGATTTTGTGTAAATAAATGAGGGGAGCATGACATAAATAGAAAAGTGATTGTCAGAAATATCTTTCAGTGTCTTAAATTTTCCTGTGGCTTAAAAACGAAAACTTTTCCATGAAGAAAGGTGGCAGTTATTATAGCAGTTTCATGTTAGTTTCTTTTTAGTCATGTATTAATTTAAGAAATAGACGTCAAGCTTTGTGTGAGTACCTACATAGTGAGTAACTTTATTTTTCAGTAATGTCATCATATGTACCTTTGAGTGAGCTGGCTTCTCAATGACCCAGGCAGCCCTATCATTTGGATATGTATAACTCTGGGACAGAGATTTTTAAGTCTTGTTATGTAATGCAGCCTTTTCTCACAAAATGTCAGGGCTGGGTTGAAAGGGCCATTTTCAGTAACCGAAGTAATTATAATAATACAATACTTAATTATCTTCATAATCAAATTCATAACGATATTACAGTTTGAAAAATCCATAAATGTTTTATAACAACTGCTTAAATATTATGGTACTTATTCCAATCACAAGATACATAAAGGAAAGAGCGTATAAGTAACACTTCATGGTTCTTTGCCTTGGCTGTTCTAGTCAAGGGTTTTAGTCAGGGGTTTGGGGTGTACCTTGTCTCTGCAGTTGCAGGCCTCTGTTTTGCTCCTGAAAAATCCAGGTTATTGGACCACAAGGCTGATCTGCAAGATCCATTTGACTGCAAAGATTCTGTAACCAGTTAGTCATTGACTATTTTATTTACATGTTAAAAGAAGCAAATAAAGGGTACAACAACTCTAAATTACCTGTTGGCATAAGACCTTGAAATAAAGATAGCAGTAGACGATAAAGCCTTGGTTGTTGGGCTTATTAGGGATTTTTTCCTTGATCGTAGTAAAGAAATTAATACATATTTAGATATTAATAGTTGGAGTTCTGATTGGTTTGCAAATATATACTGAGTCCTATACCATTCTTGTTTATAGAAATTATTTTGACTATATATTATTGTGTTGCTTACACTTAAATTGGAATATTTTCATATAACCATACTTGGTTGGGTTCTACAAATTAGTAACTGATTACTGTTGAAATAATCATGCACAGCTAGTAACTAGTGTTTGTTCTGACCGTCTTTTTTCCCCAGATTCATATTAGTGATAGACTAAACCTTCACTGGGTAGGAAATAAATTTTTCTGCAAAGATACAAGGACTTTAAAAACTTAGTAACAACTTATGCATTTTAAATAAAACACTAGACATTCTGTTCTATCTCGTTATCACCAAATTTTAAACACAAGTTTCTCTTCCAGTTGACTCCAGCAGTAAGTGGAAAGCAATGTCCCTTTATATTAGACTGTAACATTTATATAACTATTTGAATAAAACCTTTAACAAATTCTTTCATAAATTCCTTTAAACTTGAAGTTTCTTTTTCTGTTTTCTTTCTTTTTTTTTTAATCTTTCAGTGACTTACTTGCCTGTTCATTGCTGTCCATTCGTGGTCTCTTTTTATATATCCTGGTAGAGAATGTTTGTTCTTTCAGGCTCACCAACAGAATCAGTTGTCTAGAACTATTCCTAAGATTGGTTTCTCAGAAGAGACGATGGCTTTTGTTTGGATTATTGAAGTGTGCTACCTTTGATTTTATAGTATGACAGAACAGTATTGCTATTGGAGTAATCTATATAGATGTCTCCTCCGGGAGACCTCAGAATTATGTGGTTGTGAAACAAGGCTCAGCAGTGGTTGAGGTCAGGAGGTCATGCAGAGAGAGCAGTCCCCATGAATACGATTCTGTTATTGGTAGCTCAGTTGTTATTGTATGAAATGACATTGCTTTCTACATGAATAATACTAAAATTGCTTTAGTATCTTTCAATTGGTGCAAGAAATATTCTAGAATAGAATGCTTTTTGGCATTATAAGTGCTCTGTGCAAGTAATTGCCTCTTATTGAGAGTAGACTAGTTTTTGTGGCCCTATGGCTTGGGTAGTTAGTCTTTGTTTTCATTGCTGTGAGGCCTGTAAGAGTTTTAGACTCTTAATTTATGTTTTTGTTCATTTGTTTCATTTAAAAAGTATATGTATAAAAATATATACACACATAAAAACATGCATACATACAAAGACATATACTTAACACAGTATTTAATTTACAACTTCCAACTCTAACAGTCTTTTAATGCACACCAGCAGAATATGGCTCAATTCTGTGCTTGTTGTATATATGTACATTTGTGAAACTTCTCAAAAGAAATTGAGATAGCCAGTTATAAATGGGATAATAGTAAATATCTTTTAAAATTCACTTTAAAAAAAGAAAACAAAGAATGAAAACAACCTTAGGCATAATGAACATTTATGTCAGTTTAATAGTTTACAGAAATATATGTAGATAAAAATATCAATCTTTTATAAAACATAGCTAATGCTTTTAACCTGTAGTATATGTAGTTTTTGTATAATATTTTTGTTGAAAATGTTGCCTGTTCAGGGTGCTCGTTTTAATTTTAGCATTTAGGTGACATTTGTATGAGTTTCCTTCTATTCCACTTTTTGCATTTCATTATTTTTTCCTTTCATGTAGGGTTAAGCTGACATTAGAGGGTCTGGAGGAAGACGATGATGATAGGGTGTCTCCCACTGTTCTTCACAAAATGTCCAATAGCCTGGAGATATCCTTAATAAGTGACAATGAGTTCAAGTGCAGGCATTCACAGCCTGAGTGTGGGTATGGCTTACAGCCAGATCGTTGGACAGAGTATAGCATACAGACAATGGAACCAGATAACCTGGAACTGATATTTGATTTTTTTGAGGTGAGTAGTTCTTTAACTTGGGGTTAAGAAAGAATGCAGGCATGAACTTATTTTTACATATGTTTAGATTTTTATTGTAGTCAAATTTGTATAAACCCATTATTTGTAAAACGCTTTAGATGCTTAATCCTCTACATTTTAGCAGGCTGAAAAAACTTGGAGTTGAGAGACTCAAGTACTATTAAGAATATAATTAAGAGAACTTCAGCAGAATTGGTTTCAAATCAAGACCAGATATCTTGATTTCTGTGACAGTTTTAAACATATATGAATTATATCAAAAGGAGCCTCCAGGCTAAATAGAGGGACAGATAGGCTGTATAACTCTTGTGCACAGCCCAGCGTAAGTAGCATGATTGAGTCCTCTCCATGACTGAAGTCTGTGGTTTATTGAGGCATTTTATTATAAGAATTCATTGTAACAATGGACTCGTTTTGCAACTTTACTTGATATTATAAATATGTAGTTAAAAAAAGTTGCTATGAAAATTGTGGCAGATTGTTCAAAATCTGTGCTGCCAACTTTCCAGAGCTACTTATGACACGCTAGAGCTCTCTGGCTTACTGGCTTTCAGACGCTTGCCACAAATAATACTAGGTCCTCCCCTGAGGTCCTTGCTCTATTGTGCCTGGCTCGGTAGTTATGTGTACTGCTTTCCTTAGGCTCTTGCTCTTTGGCACTTCCACACTCATTTTCATTCGATTAAAGTTGAAATCTGAAGATAAGGAACTAGCCTTGCCTAGCAGTAGCATCTAGCCACAGTTTCTTGAAAATGGCAGAATTCAGGATGGATTTAAACCCATTGAGTAACACTTGTTACACATAATTAAAATTGTAATCTTTGAATTCTTTTAATTTAATGACTTCTTTAGATATAGTCTTTGTGAGTGGCTTTATAGCTGTCTTTTGTTATGTGGAATTTAAAGTATTTCTCTTCAAAAAACTAAAAAACTATATTAAAAGTACAATTGATCTTCCCTAAATAATAAGATTTGTGGGATTTTATTATAAAAATATGAAGTTTTGGTTGATGTTTTCTTGTTCTTTAAGGATCTACCTTTTAATAATCTCGTGAACAGCCTTATTTTCCTTTCATTTGGTTAGCGGTTTTGGAAACACTTTTATTTATAGAGTAGACTGGTATAATACCCAGTGTAATTTCAAAGTATTCAATTTTGTAGAATTACTGTTCCTCTATGTCATCTGCGTGGATACATTTTTAGAGAATATAATATATATTAAAAGCTCACTACTGTTACAGCTTAGTCTGTGAATCTAAAAGTACTTAGTAACTTTCAGTCAGTGCTTTAAATTCACTTAATACATGTTAGAGGATCAGAAGTACAAATCAGCATAGCTATGATTAATAAAGTAACAAAATCTTAAAATATTATATACTAAAAATGTATTATCGATCTTCTTCCTCTTGATCTTTAAATGGAAAATATTGAGTATAAGAATTTAGATTATTCTAAATCTCATTTTTTCAGGAAGATCTCAGTGAACACGTAGTTCAGGGCGATGCCCTTCCTGGACACGTGGGTACAGCATGCCTCTTATCATCCACCATTGCTGAGAGTGGGAAGAGTGCTGGAATCCTTACTCTTCCTATCATGAGCAGAAATTCCAGAAAAACAATAGGCAAAGTGAGAGGTAAGCCTGGAGAAGCAGGGTGGGTGGCCCTTTACAAATAAGCAAAGATTAAGTGCAAAATTGTATTAGTTTCAAGTTGAGCTTTCAAGAATGATAAAGATTAAATAATGATTTGTTTTAGAATATTAACTAATAAAATGACAGTAAGGACATATCTATTGAATTTTCTGGAAGCTTTACTTTAAATCAGTTTTGACTTGTTGGTTTTTTTCCTATTTGGTATTTGAATGTAATTGAGCTTATAATGAATGGCCTTTTTAATTGTCTTTGTTTTTGTTCCCCCCCCCTTTTTTTTCCTCTACAAAAGTTGACTATATAATTATTAAGCCATTGCCAGGATACAATTGTGACATGAAATCTTCATTTTCCAAGTATTGGAAGCCAAGAATACCATTGGATGTTGGACATCGAGGTGCAGGGAATTCTACAACAACTGCTCAGTAGGTTGAATATTTGAGCGGTATTAGCATTTGGTAGCTCAAACTTGATAATATTAAATTTGTTTGACCTACTAAAGGTCAAATGATTCTTTTATTAATATCCTGGAATTTAAATGTAATTTGATAATTGGGGTTCGTAATTTAAATTAATTAGATGCTAACTCTCTCTTAAGATTCTGGTCAGTCTTTTTAATATTCTACTGAATTGATGATGAGAGAGACATTAAAACTGGAAAGCCATCCACCAGAGGGGAGGGGAATGGGGGAATGGATAAAAAAATTTAAGGGGAATAAGATATAAACTTCCAGTTATAAAATAAGCCATTGGGGATATAATGTATAGCCCATGGAATATAGTCAGTCATGTAATAACTTTGTACTGTGACAGACAGTTATTAGACTTATTGTAGTGATCACATCATAAGGTATATAAAAGTGGAATCACTATGTCGTACACCCAAAACTAATACTATATGCCAACTATATTTTAAAGTTTTTCAAAAAGCAGACATATTCCAAAGTTAAACTAGCCAGGAGGGAAAGCTTGTTGCAGAGTTGGCGTCATGATTGATATCAGTCTGTCTGTATTGGGGTCCTGACTTTTGGCATGTTGCCCTCTCTGGGTCTCGGTTTTCTTACTTGTTCTCAATATAGTTTCCATATTCCTACCCCATTGGTGTGCTAGCCTTCTCTCATTCTCCTAGGCTACTTATAGTAAGTCATCTGAGGCTTCATTGGAAGGAGCGAGTTTCTTTATCTCTGCTACTTCATGTCATTGCAGGGGTTATCTTCCTTAATTGGTCAGCCCACTTGGAGAGGTTGTGTTGGCATAGGATATGTCTATATTCAGCTTGTAAATACCTATAATCATTAGAGCTTACATTTATGGAATAAATGCATGCACCAACCAAATGATGGTCAGAGTCTTATTTTGGAGATGGCAAAATTAGCCTCAAAATAGAGGATAAATACTGTTTCCATTGTTAAATATATAGCCGGCTTTATTACATTTGTTTTCTTCATTTTCTTTATAGTATATGATAAATATATTTTAATATATTCTCTTTCAGGCTTGCTAAAGTTCAAGAAAATACTATTGCTTCTTTAAGAAATGCTGCTAGTCATGTAAGTGAACCTCTCCTGTAAAGAACTTCGGGTTCTTGGTTCAAAGGTAGAAAAGTAGAGAAATGTGTGTCTGGGCAGTCTCCTCCAGTCTGCATTAATAAGTTAGCACATGTAATATTTTTGCTTCTTCTGAATATGTTTCTAAGTGAAGGTGAAGTATCTCTAGGCATTTGTATTTAGATTCATGATGAAGACTGAGATGAAAACAATGAAATTCATAAGCATCCTTTTTTATGAATGACAAATTTTGAGTGATTAGGGCAAGAAAAACATTCCCCATTAAGCATTGATTTTCATCAGTGTGCTTATTCAAAAACTCATTTTGGAAATAATGCTTATGGAAGAATTTGATAGTGATTTTAGGTAACACTTTTAAAAAGTTTGCCAGTTTACATCCTGCATACCAACTTTATTATGTTAAAATTCTACACCTTTTATCCAGTTATAAAGGGTTAGTCTGTTTTTTTAGCTTTTAGTTTTTTTCAGCAAGTGCAACTTGACATTTTTAATCAAGAATCTGAGATTCCCCCACCTCCTCCCATTCCTCTGTACCTGATTAAAAACCTCATGTTCCAAAGTTAAACTAGTGGGAAAATAAAATGCAGCATTTTATTTCCACTTTTTCTATGTCCTCCACATGCCTAAAACTTTGCTTTTTAAAAAATAGTTCAAGTAAAATTGATTTGTCAGATGTTTAATTTTATCACTTATAAATAAGCAAACATCTCTTCTAAGACATACTTTTTTCTTAGTTCGACATCTCTAAAATTGGAGTATTACAACTTTCTTAGCTTTTCACCATGGTTCAATTAGCAGTAATTTTTTTCTCCTCTTGGTGTATAAAATAATAATGCATTTTATAATTCATGACATCTTAGATTGATTATTGTAATTATTTTAATGTTTATAAATATTAAATCTATGCATATGTTGGGCTGTAGTTCATTATTTGGAACCAGTGTTAGTTTTATAGCTAGCTAAACTAAACATTATTTTATTTAGCTCTAAATATGTGAAGAACCCTGTTAAAGAACTTGCAGGGTCTCTGCTTTTTGAGAGAGGATTTCATTAAGCCCTTCTATATCCTGATGAAATCCTTTGTAACTCATGGATAACATTTTAGAATGTCTTATGTTAGTTGTTAATGGCTGGTTTGTTTTAATGTTAAAAATGTACCTTTGAAGAGGCATTGGTCTGTTATTGCCTTATTTCCTAAAGCTCACACATGAATTTTGGAATCAAGTTTTATCTCTTAGTAAAATTATACTCCTAAAGGATTATGATCATGTCAAATTAAACATTTAAACTAAAAAGCTATAACTTAATATGTTTAATCATTACAGCTATTTAGAGGTTGCAATGTTTGTGTCATTGTCTTATTTGCAATGATAGAAGAAGCTAAGCTTATTCCTGCTTCAGATATCATCAAGTAACTCTGGCTTATTTGGGTCTAGTCTGTGATCCATGTTTATTCACAAGATGAGCAAGGGGTGGAAATGTATCCATCCATTCTTATCCAGTACTTCTCTGGGCCATAGTAACATTACAGAATTCTCGACCTTGTTTCCTTTGATCCTAGTTGGCTTTCTTTGAGTGAACACAAATTTGTATGTCAGGTTATGTTCTCAGCTTTTGTTTGGATTTATTCATATGTCAGAATGGATCTGACTTTTAAAAATATATCCTTAACTCTAATTCTTGTCCTCCTTTCTTTTCAGGCTTCTATTAGGGAATTTGTCATGTGCATCATTCTTGTTGCCCATTTCTGCAGCAATTATAGTTTCCTCTTAATCCGATTACTGAGGTTTTACTAAGAAAGGCTGTAGTGTGCTGCTCAAGTGCACCAAGAACAAGAGACTGCAAGTTATTCTTTTTCCCACTTCATCTTTGAGGTTCAGCTGTCCAGCTAAGGTAGCAACAAGGTGTGAGGTAGCCCTGTGCTCCAGGCTTCTGTTAAGCTCCATTTCTGCTAATAGCAGTGGCAGAAGTGCCATACCTGTGAAGGCTGTCCATTGCCACAGAGTGTGTTCAAGTGAATCGGTGCCCTTTAGTTTTGTTTTTTGTTTTGACCAGGAAATAATTGCTGTTCTATTTTAAAAAAAGGAAAATACTTGGTTTTAAAAGAAGAAATTACTTTTTAGAAAAAGCTTAAAATGTAACATTACATAATTCATGAGCAAGTTCTATTTTTTTGTACAGCTTTATTTTCTAATGAACAACGAATTTCTTATATCCTTGTAGTTTTAGATGTATTGTGGGCCAGGTAATGTTTTTTAAATACTTGTTTTCTTTATTCCTGTCAGGGTGCAGCCTTTGTAGAATTTGATGTACATCTTTCAAAAGATTTTGTGCCTGTGGTGTATCATGATCTCACCTGTTGTTTGACTATGAAAAAGGTATGTTGAAATGCTTTCATTAAAAAAAAATAGAATTAGTTATTAAATAAAGTCGGCTGATTCATTTTCTTCCTGAGTTGCTGCCAATCCCTTCCTCTCTTAAGCTCCTACAACATCGAGAGAGTGAGGAGACAGGAATATTAATGTCCTCAAGTAGGGTATCTGTACTGCTCAATTAGCTTTTTCATATTATCTAACAAAAGAGCATTCTAGATGGTTTGTGTATCAGTCTGCCACTGTCTGTATTGAGGCAGGAGAGGAAGCTATCAGAGTGTGTGTTTTCTAGACTCCCTTCTATTTCTGCTTCAAGCTTTTTCTCAAATTAATAGGCTAGTAGTATGATTTGGCTAAAGTAGGAAGAGCTACAGTGAAAAATAAAATTGGAAACATGCTTTGGAGCCAGACGGTGGAGGGCCTCAGTGAAGGGGTGGAGTTTTAGGAACTAGGGAGATAGGAAAGACTTTTTTGCCAAGAAGGGAAGTGTCCAGAACTAAATTTCCAGATTAATATTTTGATACTCGATGTAAGGGGAATTTAAGAAGACAAAGAATAGAGGCAAGGGGACCCAGTAGTAATGTGGGCCAAAGGTAAGGTAAGCCTGAACTGGAGAGAAGACAATGAGAATGGAGAAGAGGGCATGATAGAGGAGAAAGTCCAGAAGGAGATTTGAAAATGCATATAATCACTTAAAAATTATAATTGTTATACAAACATAATTGTAATAATTATATATAGCATCTAAATTTCAGTATACAAATTAACCAAGTGATTTCTCAGGGACTTAAAGTAGGAGAGTTCATTTGGCATTTTCTTTAAAACTGCATTAGGTATCATTTTCCACTGAGTTGATTCAAAGTTAAGGGTAGTTTGCTAATATCTGTAACAGTGCACCAGACACTGCCTGTTGTATAAATAGATGACAAGGCACCTGACTCTGCCTGCTAGTGGATTCTAATCAGTCATATGGGTTTGGATTACTATGATTTATAGAAAAGGACCCTTAAAATTTTGCGAATGGTGTTAAAGGGAAGGAATAAGATGCACCTGTTTAGATGACAGAAGTGACAGTATAAAAAGAGCAGGTGGTTTTTGCTGTGGGGAAACAGTAATGTAAAGTGAAATGAGAAGGAATGCAGTGGTACAGGATCTTAACTAACCAAGACAGAAGTTAATCTGGTTGTAATTTCTGAAAATCTATGAGAGTTTATCGAAAAGTATTACTGATCCTCCTTTTTCACGAGACTTTGCGTTGCTCTTAAATTGAATCTGGATGGGTTAATTGGGGAATGAAAGTGATAAATTGTAGATATTTTTAGCATTAATTTTTAAGCTGGTATTTTACAATAAAACCAATGGTTCAGAAGGTTATGAAATGAATATGAAACTTCCTTTTTCTTCTTGTTTGCACTCCTTTATTCTTAATAGCTTTTTATGTATTCTCCCAGAAAAACTTGATGCATATGCTCATACCATATGTACATGAATGAATTTAAAAGTAATGGGTTTTAGTATATTTGTTGGATCAATGATTTATTGATGGTACATTAACTCATTATATTAAGATAGAAGTGCCTAAACAATGTGACATTTGATAATGGTATTAAAGTCTAATAAAACATTTGCTTATGGGGAAAATGTTTATAATAGGTTAGAGTTCCTGTTAAGTATTACTGCTTATAGCCAATCATACTTTTTTTCATAACAGTTGACTACTGTGGCTGTTTTTAACCAAACTTAAGTTTAAAAAGTTTAGAAAAGTATGGAAACTTATCTACAGAAATTAATGCTTACACAGTACTTGCACATTGATTTTTCTAGTCATGTAGCATGAATATGTGGCATATAAAATATGTACAGCGTGACAGGAAAGAGGAGAAATGACTGACTCTGGCTTTATTGTCAGTGTGTTTTCAGTGCCATAGTTTCCTCCCAGCTGTTTTTTTTCTTCCACACACTGCCACCTACATTAAAAACAAAAGCCAGAGTTTAAGATGTGGGAGGTGGTGTTAGATAAGAAGGGCTCCCCTCTGTGGGCTCAAGGTGGTCAGCAAACAATTATTCTCATCCAGTAAATTAAGATGTTAGGCCTATCAAGGGTAAACATTCAGTAACAATTTGGGGCCCATTTTCTCTTTATTTTCTTTTTAGAAATTTGATGCTGATCCAGTTGAATTATTTGAAATTCCAGTAAAGGAATTAACATTTGACCAACTCCAGTTGTTAAAGGTAGTAATAATAGCATAAAATGTAAATTATCTTTTAGTTTTAAGACTCTTAGTGTACTTGTCTATATATGGTAATGTTCTCTTTGCACATGGATGTCACTGTATATTCAGCACGTGTAGAGTGTGTGCTTTGGTTTTCTTTTCTGTTACGAAGAATGGATTTGTGCTAATCCATATCTGTCTTCTCTAACAGTTTGCATAGACCCCATTGGTTTTTGCATAAGTGACAGGGCTAGGTTATAAGTCTTTGGAGGCTAGCCCTTATTCATAATCTTAGGTTGCCTCTGGTCTGCTTTAGCCCTTCTTTATATAACTGTCACTATTTTACAGTTGGCCTTTTATGCTATTACTGGTCTTATACTTATGTTACTATTTAAGATCTTTGTATATTTTGTTATACCATGTAATTTTACATGATTCCTCTTCCTATTCCCATTAGATACCTAAATAAATGGTCGATTGAGTATCAGTAGTTTCCCAACCTAAGAATTTTTATATTCTTTTTCCCTACTTGGACATTTGATTATGATCTTATATGTATGTACAAACATATAAAATATATAGTCATTAGTGCTTATTCTTATTAAACTTATAATTCTACATTTTATAATTTTCTCTTAACTTGCTAGCTTTTCAGGTTACAGTTCTGTTCACCATATCTTTATAAACTAAGGCTTTTTTTAATGATTGCATTTCGTGTGCGTGTTTTTCTAGCTCGCTCATGTGACTGCACTAAAATCTAAAGATCTGAAAGGTATGTACCAATATGGAAACGTTGATTTCATTTCATAGTTAACATCTATGTAGTATTTCCAAAGGCATTTTAACATACTGTGGTCATGTTGACGAATATAATACTGAGCTGTCCATCTAATTTATAGACGTGAAGGCTTTACATACATTAATCTTCAAATGCTTGTATGTCATGTGTATAGTAACCATGATTTGTTACTTTTATGAGTTTTCTTAGCTTGATGAACAAAGTTCTTTATAACTTTGTACCTACCAATCTTTTCAACATTCTCACCATTACAAAGTCGAGAATATATCAAGCATAGAATCTGGCTCCACAACCAAGAGTTTGAATCCAGCTCTAACATTTATTTACCAGTTGTGACCTTGGGCAGTTACTTTACTTGACTACTCTGTGCCTCAGTTTCTTCAAAGCTTGTCTGCCTACAAACGCCCTTTGTAATTTTTACTTTATTTTCTACTCCCATGGAACTTAGTAGTCTGTGCCATTCATTTGAAGCTTAGTGTGTCCTTTTTTTAACCCTTTATTTTTGTATATGCCCTGTCTCTTCAATGAAAATGTAAACCTCTCAAGGGTGAGAAAAATTTTTATTCCCCAAGACATTTACAGTACTCTGCATATAGTAGGTATTACATCTGCAGTGTGATAATGAGATAGTTGGGATGCCTTTATGAAGAAATGATAAAGTGCTTAAAGACTCCATCTCCAGAGCATAAATGTGATTTAATAGGCTTATAAATATTTCATGACTGTTCATAGTAAAATGAATTTTACCTTTAACTTATTTAACTAGAAAATTTTACATGATTTTCTTTGAATTTACATTACATGGGCTTTTTTTTTTTTTTTTTTTAAGAAAAGGAAAGCTTGGTATTTTTTTTTTTCTTTTGGAAAAAAATTCTTGTGTCTCGAGATGTAATCTATTTTGATTTAATTGGTAATGGTAACCAAATGGTAACATTAGTAGCTATAGATTCTCTTAATTCCTAACTTTTTAGATAATTTCAATTTTTTAAGTAGAAGTCTTAGCAAGGTAACGTAGCTCTTAATTTCGTTGAGAAATAAATCACTGCTCGTGACTACTTTTAGAAAAGTAGTCCAGCTTCTATAAAAAAAAATCACTAGGGACTGCAGACACTATGGTGTTTCTATTAAATGTTGCAAACTAGTTCGTGAAGGATGCTTATTTTGAAAATGGGGGTTTAATGGTTAAAAGCAATAAATATAAGAGCCTTCAAAAAATCCTACATATGAAAGGATCTTATAATTATTTATCTCTTTTTTTGCCCAAAGAATTTAGGAAAGGTTTTTAGTGATAAAATAGTATTTTATCTACTGAGTTTTTGTAATTTAAAATTTCAGAATCTGTTGTTGATGAAGAAAATTCTTTTTCTGAAAATCAGCCATTTCCTTCTCTTAAGATGGTAAGTTCCTTAGGAAAACTAGGGCAAGGCTATCTCATTAATTCTGTTATATATGAATAATTAATTTTGGTCTCTTAAATGGCTTTACATAGGTGTCAAAGACAACATTAATATAAACTTGTCATCATCAATGCTTTTCAGAAAATATAATTTTTATGTGATATCTCTATGCTATTTTTTTAAAAGAGTAACTTATATGCTCATATGATAAAATTTCCTACTTCCAGGGGCTAGTTTGATAAGAATTAGGAAATTCCCACATTTCCACATGTATATAAACTGGAAGGAGAGAGCACAGAACAGGATGTGGGAAGGAGCTGTGATGTTGGGAGGCATTTTTACAATATTTTAAACTGTTTCTTAGCTTTTGAAGAAAAATGAGAGCCTATAAAGAAATTAAAATGAGACACAAATTGTAAGAATTTACTCTGAAAAAGTATAACAAAAACTAGCATGAAGATAAAAAATGTAGACAGAATTCATATAGGAATCCCTTTGACAGCATCAGGCAAGCCTGCCTGGATACCAGACACTCTCCTTGGCTTTTATTCTTACTGTTTCCATTTCCTAACTTGTACTCTTCTCCATTGTCTTTTTCTGGTGATGTCAGGTAGAGTAGATTTCTTAGGGAAAAATAGGTTATTTCAGTTTATCATGATTATTCACCCTACAAAAAGAATGCTACAAGAGAGTTCCTAAAATGGACATTGTCTTAGTACTTTTAAAATGATTTGAATAATTTCACTCACTTTGCCATCAAATATAATTGAATCATAGAGAAATTTTAAAACCAAAAGAGGTCAAATACAATCTCTCTAAAGGAGAATCTGCAGATTTGATATTTAGCTGCCTCAACACTAATATATACCATTGTTCTCATTTTTCTAATTTTTCGTTAGTTCAGTAAAAATGTGACAGGTATGTTAAATAAATGTGGCTAAAGATGGAGAAAAAAAGTCAGAAAGCCCCTCATGAAACTGAGTACACTTTCAGGTACTGCACTTTTTATACAACTGGTTAATGTAGACCCAGGGCTAGCTCCCAGGCTATATTCTTACTATTATATTGTTCTGTTAGTATGCTTTATTTTCTGTTACCAAATCAGATTTATATATACTATACATGTTAAATGATTTTTAAACTTTTGAAATAAAAAAAGTTAAAACATATCTGTTTCAAATTTATTTTTCCTTGAGCTTGTTTGTGTATTTGCCTGGCCTTCATGTTTGATGACTAAAGTCAGCTCTTTATAGGTTAATAACCAGGCCTTATATTTTCAGTTTGATTTTCTAGTTATGTTGCCAAAATGGTCTTACTGCAAAGTGTCTAGATAATTTAGTTTAGATAAGTTGACACCATATTACTTGTTCAGTTACCTAATCAGTCTTATTTATTTATGATCCTCCACTTGGAGAGTAACATCTTTTCCGGGAGTAACAATGTAGTATTTGTTAAGCATCACCACCTTCAGAACAAGCTGGACATCATGGTTTTTTCATATAACCATATCTTCACATAGTGGATTGATACCTGAATGCAGTTCAGAAAATACTATAAATATCTTCTTAAATCCATGAGGTTGCCTAACTTATTACAACTCACTGTGGATGTCCAGTAGTAATGGTGAAATGGATTTTGGGTCAAAGATTCATCTTTCTAGTAGTAGTGATCAGTTATCATGGATATTGCCTTAAGACTACTATGCTTTTAATTTCTCTTGTCTTTCTTATTTAACTTAATCAACCAGGTAGTCTGAGTATGAGAAAAGATAGTGGTTTATGCTGAAGGCACAAAACATTTTATTCTTACTAGTGATATGTTTTCTTACAGATTGCTTTTTGTAATATTTTTTCTTTTTTTCTCTTATTCTACCATTCATCTCACTGAAAACAAACCACAATTCACCACCAACCAACAAAACTACTCTAGGTTTTAGAGTCTTTGCCAGAAGAGGTAGGGTTTAACATAGAAATAAAGTGGATCTGCCAACAAAGGGTAAGTAATTCTCTATGTAAGACATTCTTCTTCCTTTCTCCACATTTCTTTAAATGCATTCAATCCTATCTTTATTTTAATGGAATAAGTAAAACTGAAAACTTATTGTGGCTTTTTCTAGCAAGCAGTGCTTGTTAGATCTTTTAAATAAAGCATATTTTATACTTATATGTGAGTACTTAAACTTTGTGATGAATGTATTATAGTAGAAATTCCATTTATAAGTGTCTTTTCACATTTATATCATGGTTTCTGCGCATACTTATAAAGTGAACAGTGAGAACTCTGGATAGTCAGAATTCTGTAACTGATTTGTTTTTGTTTTCTTATCCCCCATATAAGCACATATTTTAAATAATTTCCTAAGTAGTTTTCTGTTAAGTGGTAGTAGCTAGTAATAATTAACCAGAAAAAGAAATTGCTACAGATGTGTTTTAAATCAGTCCCAGATTTTATCATTCTTTTGTTCAATAATTAAATATAAAAAAGCTGCTATGGACCAGACATTTTCTGGTTCCTGGGGTCAAGTAGTGAACAAAACAAAATAAAGCCTTGCTTTTCTGGAACGTATATTCTAGTCAAGGGAAACAGTTAACTGTTGAGTGTATCAGATGGGGAAGTGTGTAAATGGATGGGGATGCATGTTAAGAGGGTTGGTTGAGGTGGGGTGGGCGTTGGAAGTAGTTAATTGAGATACAATGATTGGACAATCAAAATGATATTCTGAAATTTGTTTTGGTCAGAATAATCTATAGCTGTCCTCAAACCATGCTTTCTAAGTAACTATTCCTGATAAGCTGGTCCTAGTTAACATAAATGCTCAACCAAGGTTTTCTTAATAAGTAAGTTTTAGTTTTCTGAGCTTTTAGATTTATATTAATCATTAACATTTAAAATATTTAATATTTGAATATCAACAGGGCTCTTGGTATCTTAGCTATATTTATACAATTCTTTATATTATTCATTAAGGGTGCTTGATACGCCCAAGGCCTAAAGAATGAGATTTTTAACTGGTAATTCATAATTACTAGGATTTGTTGTTGTTGTTGTTGTTGGTTTAATTTAGTAATGAGTTAGCAAATGAAGTGGAGTCCTTTTGTCCTATAGTATATATAAATAAATATTTACATATTTATTTATCAAGAATATATACATAAAAATATTTTTAAATATTTCCAGATTGCAAATTTCCAGAGTTTTAGTTTTCATTTTGTTAACTGATTAAAGCAAGTCTATTGATGGTGTAATTTACTTTAAGTGTCTCTATATCTGAATTATAATAGTTGCACTGTCACCAAGGAGCTGTGTGGCCTTGACAAGGCATTTCATCTTTTCAGGATTTTGCTTTCCTTATTGTAAAATAAGAGTTGAACTAGATATTCACAAGATTTTTTTTCTAGCACTGTGATTCCAGGGTATTTAACGGCTTTCATTTTCCTATTTATTTCTCTTCCGCATAGGATGGCATGTGGGATGGTAACTTATCAACATATTTTGACATGAATCTGTTTTTGGATATCATTTTAAAAACCGTCTTAGAAAATTCTGGGAAGAGGAGAATAGTGTTTTCTTCATTTGATGCAGATATCTGTACAATGTGAGTATTCATTTTTTTTTTTCTCTTATACTCTTAGATTGTAGCTAAACTTAGAATACAAAGATTATGGTTGGAGATGAGGAAGTGTCCAGACTTTAACCTTGAATGGTCCTCACAGTCAGATTATGTGTATTCTCACATCCCTTCGGGAGAACCTGCTGGGGTGCCCTCCACTCCTATGAACCCGAGCACCTCATGCCTGTGTTGCATATACCATCTTCTTTACCAAATTGTAAGCCCTCATGGGCTTTCTTGTTTCCCATTTCTGAGAATGTATTTTAGCTCTTGTATAGAGTAAACAATTTTTTTTTTCCTTTTTGACTGAAAGACAATATGTACATGTCAGTGGTAGTTATAGCAGTAATGGGAGTTGTTTTCTTTATATATTTAGTGTTTTCTAAAGTTTCCAAACAGAATGCATAATAATTATTTCCCCAATGAAAAGTGTTTTTTAAATTGTCTTTTTTAGGGTTCGGCACAAGCAGAACAAATATCCCATATTATTTTTGACTCAAGGAAAGTCTGATATTTACCCTGAACTCATGGACCTCAGATCTCGGACAACTGCTATCGCAATGAGCTTTGCACAGTTTGAAAATCTACTGGTAAATTCTGTTAGAATTTTTTAACTTTCATTTTTTAAAAAATGTTTCAGAGCAGTAATAAAGTTTCATGTTACATTACACATCTCATTGGTTAGTTTTAACCTAAAAATGGAGGTATTATATCTCAGAGTGAAAAGTAGTTACATGAACAAAAAAATGTATATTTTCTTGCAGGCCTAGGATAAGTAAGTTTTGTAGTTTTGTTTTCCTAGTGGATTTAGTGAGTCATCTAAAATGGTTAGACTGTAAACTTGTTTGATAAGTTTAGTTGTGTAAGAAAAAGTTGTAGCATTTCCCTGTGCACTCCGTTTTGGAGAGCACTGATCTAGAGTATGACCGTTTGCAGTCAGTAAGTTACTTTTTCATGAATAACTTATTTTTCTTCTTTTAGGGGATAAATGCACATACTGAAGACCTGCTCAGAAACCCATCCTACATTCAAGAGGCAAAAGCTAAGGGATTAGTCATATTCTGCTGGGGTGATGATACCAATGATCCTGAAAACAGGAAGAAATTGAAGGAATTTGGAGTAAATGGCCTAATTTATGATAGGTATTTGTTCTTCATGAAGAATTTTCATGGACTGTTAGGAAAAAACTAGCTTTCATCTTATAAAATTATAAATAATACTAAACTTAGCTAAGTTAAAATTCTGTAGTTCATCCTGAGATTTATCTTAAACATTTGTCAGTGGAATCACTTGGGAAGCTTATTAAAAATTCTGGCGACTGGGCTCTAACTAGATGTATACGCCATCTTGGGAGTAGGGGTGGGGGTGGCTGTCTGCCCCAGACCTCTCCTCTGTCTAAACCAGCTTTCTTGGTGATTTCATCTAATTCTATGGCTTTTTATAATTTTATATATTCCTAAATTTTTATATCTCCAACTCAGACCTTTCCCCTGACCTCTAAACTTTATATCCAGCTATCAATACCTATTCTTCCTACAGACTCCCCGATTTCAATATAATTGACAACTGTCTTTCCAGTTTCTTGGGCTAAATCCTTGGAGTCTTTAATGGCTCTGTTCTTTATCTCATATTCTAAATCTAGTCAAACAAAATCTTTTTGATTCTACAAATATATTCTGAATCTGTCTCCTAACTACATTTATTATTGTCATTCTCCCTTAAGCTACCTCATTTCTCATGTGGATTATTGAAGTAGCCTGCTCACTGGTGACTGCCTACATCCTGCTATCTGTCCTCAGCACAGCAGCCAGAGTGAGCCTGTTAAAATGGAAGTCAGATCATGTTACTGCTTAAAACTCTCTCACCATTTTCTGTGTCACTTAGAATAAAATTCCAGGTCCTTAACCACCCGCTTTCATACCCCAATGTCAACTTCTCATTAAAGCCATCCCTGATTATCCTAATTCAGATAACAACCTCTACCCACAGTGCACTCACTTGTTTTTTTCTCCATAGCATTTACACTATCTGCTATATCCATATACATATAATATTTTACTTGTTTATTTTCTCCTGACCACCCTCCATATACCTACACAAACATAAGCTCCATGAGGGCAAGGTTCTTTGCCTGTTCTCACTGCTGTATCTCCAGAGGTTAGAACCATATGCGATACAGAGTAAGAGCTCTAATATTTGTTGAACAAATCTTTTTATATATATATATGCTTTTTGGGTGCTTATAAGCTTGAGAGCCACTGAGAGAGGAAAAGGTTGCTTAGTATAAAGAAATTGGGGGTTAGAAAGGATGCCATTTACTCTGGTAATACTTGAGTGGCATCATGTGAAGAGTAAGTGATGAAATTCTTACCAGGCCCGCTTTTTGAGGTTATACCATGTACAACTTTGTAGGGCGTACAGATTTTCGGCAGATCCTTCATCTTGAGGGCCTTAGCTTGGTTGGAGCCAAGTACTGACATGTCATGGAGAAAGTGATGGTGCTGTATGAGTTCTTCCTGGCCTGGGATCAATAAGGATAATTTTAAAGAGGAATCATTGAGATGGATTTGAGGGTCTGGTTAAATTTGCTTTGACAGGAATTGCATTTTAGGCAAAGGCTAGAGCATGAATCAGGGCAGGACTATGTTGAAGGTGTGGAGGGTTTTGAGGAGACACCCAGCACTGGGCTCCTACTAGGGTCCAATAGCAGGTGAGGTGGGTTATTTTAGTTGATTTTTACCCTTGAAAGTTTTTTTAAATTTTAATCAAAGAAGTACATATATATACACATAACTGTGTGTGTGTATATATATTTGTGTATATCTATATCTTAAATTTAAATAGTTCTTTTAAGGCTTATAATAAATACCATTAGTCTCCTACACCTGTCTCTTTCATTGTTTCTAGTCGAGTTCCTATGCCCTTAATTTTTCAGCTGTTGTACTTAATGTGTTTATGCTATACTTTTTTCATTATCAAATTTAGACATATGGACAGTTTTGAATGATTAGTGATTCAGAGCCTTTGATTCATTTTACATTGGGAAGAATTGTGATGAGGCTGCGTGTTTTAGTCTATCAAAAACTAATTTGTTCTCTTTTTTTACAAAGGCATTATTAACAACAGTAGATTTCCATTTCATCATGGTTTTGTGGTATATTATATATACTGGTATGTTTGATTTGCTGATATTTGGGATTTTTGCACTTATGATAATGAATAGGATGGCCTTTAATTTACCTGTCAGAATGGCTTGATTTTCATATGGGGCTAATACTTGTCTCATAGAGTAAATTGGGCAGTCTGCCCTCTTTTATGAAATTACTGTGTCTGCTCAAATGATTTTTAAAAAATGCAATGACAGACACCCACATTTAAAGAACATTATCATTAGATTTTGAAGTCCCCCATATGCCTTTCCTTAACTCTATTCCCTTATCCTCCTCCCTTAGACATAATTGCTTCTCAAATTATTATTCTCTTTAAAATTTTTAAAATTCTAATTTCTGTTGCTTAACAAACTAGTTTTGCATGGCTTTAATCTTTATTTGTACTTCTCTTGCATGTAGTTATAATCTGTGTATCTTCATGGTTGTATAATATTCATGGCTGGCATGTCTTTACCACAATATATCCTCCTATTTGAGAACATTTAAGTGGTTGCCACATTTTTCCTGTTACAGCATTTGCTATAAACATTGTTGACCTGGTTCCTTAGAATTTATGTGTAAAGTGTCTCTAGGGCAATGACTCTCAAATCTTTTTGACCCCAACCCAGTTAGAAATGCATTTTATATTGCAACCCAGTGCACACAGATAAGTATATCTATAAGCATTGTGGCCGGGCATAAAATTCCATATGAGAAATCATTTACTTTTATAATTTTAAAAGCATTTCTCCATCACTTACGCAATTTCAGGGTTGCTGTTAAGGAGTGTGAAACCACGCTGATTCCTCTTCCCTCATATGTGATTTGTTTCCTATCTGGAAGCTTGGAGTCTTCTTTTTGTGACCAGTGTTATAAGATTCTACAGAGATGGGTCTTGGGGATCTGGTTTCAGCTATTGTGCTGGGCACTTGGTAACCTTTTTAGTCTGTTGATACATGTCCTTGAAGATGTGAAATATTTCATGAACTGTTTTTGATTTTCGTCCCTTCCATTTTTCTGTTTTTTTTTTTCTCTGTATAAAATTACTTTTTTTTTTTTTTTTTTTTTTTTTTTTTCACTTTTT